AAAACATATGACAAAGTAGTTGAAATAAACGAAGCATTTCCCTGAATCCTTCATTTGGGACATTCAGACAATGGCAAGGCAAGAATATGGAGCTGAGTAATTGGCATTACCGTGAAGATCGAGATAAAAAAGATCACTCCTTGAAGATCCTGAATGGATTTCTGGCCTTTTCCTATCTCAGAAAAGAGGGCTGCAACTATGAAGCCCATTACAGTGGCCTGCAAACAAGGCAAAGCAGAAAATGAAGATGGAGTTGGTGGGGTCCTTCCAAATCAATATTTCCCATTGTTAGGAATCAACAACAGTAACCAGATTCTTCTAAGAAAGCCTTTTGACATGGCGATTGAACGAAGTTGATTGAATGAGGTCACCCCAACGACAAGATAGCGACCTCCATTACTTTGGTGTTTCCATGTCTGATGCGGAGGAGTGGCCTTTGCTATCAGTGACTGATCATCACCCTGACCACCAGTCCGTCCGAGCCTCCTTTTCCCGACACAGATTTTTACCATGCAGTGCAGACTGATTCCTGCTCAACAAATGTGGAGTGCCTTTTGTCTGGCGATGCCAGCCTTTTCTGTACGGCACCAGTCATTTTGCAGGACCTGCGTGCCAGAACAAAATAACTGCGAAACGGACTGGTGTTTTACCCAACTGTCTGCGCCTGACTTCTACTGCACTTGGAAGAGGGACGAGGAGCCGATTGACACGTCCTGTGCCCTAACTTATGTTCTGCCGGCATCAACAATATCTGTGGAGGATCACGAGGACAGCAGGCAGCCTAACATAGCTGAGAGGATCGAGTATATCCGCAGTTCTCACGCTTTCCAAAATTACTAAATTAGCAGTGAACAGGCACGCAGGTGGAGCGGAAGTAAGGGGAAAGGAAAGAAAGAAGTGGGGACGTTGACAAGAAGTAACATGGAAACTGACCTGCACAAAAGAAATACCAACTGGGAGCTTGTCCCTTCGAACTTGTGTCGCAGATCTTCCAAAAAGAGTGAAAAACTGAGTAAACCAGTTGCTTGCAAATCCCGGCTTCCTGATTTTACTCTCTGCCAAGGCGCTGGGCGTCATCAATAGTTTCGGATTCTCAGGAGGGGTGACTCCCGCCTGCAGTGATACAACACACACAGCCAGCATACTCATTCCCTCACCCCGTGTCTCTGGCCCATCAACACTCCAAAACACCCAAGTAGATGGGGACACCATTAAGGGCCTCAGTTCAATCTCCACAAGCAATGCAATTCTCTGTGTATGTTTCAAAGGCACGCTGGACCCGTTTTCCAGCAGGTGCTGCTCCCAACCAATAGATTGGAGCTCGACACAGGACTGCTAGGGATGTCTGCTCATATCAGCAGCCCTAGCGGACCACGACTGTGTTTTCCAAAAAAAAAAAGAAGAAGTTAAAACATCACCATGACCATAGGACAAAGACTGACGGCAGTGGTCTGGGAGGTTTCTGCAAAGTTTTATTTATGTTTTCTTTTCGTTTTTCTTTTTTTTTGTTCTGTATGCATTATCCCCTTAATTGTGAGAGGTAGCTATGCTTGCAGGGGTCCCCTGTATAGGTTTAGGAGTAGTGGTAGTTAGGTAGTGAAAGGTGAAATTGAGAAGAAAAAAAGTAAAATAAAATTGGACCATTTCTCAACTTATGAAAGGATCTCATCTGCTTCAGCGTCGAAGCCTCAGTAGAGTCAGTACCAGTCTTGGCATTCCATGTACCATAGTACCCATCGATTCAGTAGGGTAGTCGGGTTGAGTCAGGTAGACTCGGTAGGATTCCCTAGGTGAGTCAGTCCAGTCAGACCATCTGTCAGTAAGTCCAACCAAGTCAGAAGATCAGTCCCACAAAAGGCAGCGAAACTACCAGAAGCATCAAAGGCCAACTGAGCCGGCATAGGAAGGTACCAATACCGGAGAAGTCCAAGATTGGGAACTGCAACGAAGTATACAAGTCCAGCAGCAGTGAACTGTCAACAAAATTTCCATTCCTTGTTGCAGAAACGCTGCTGCGTTCTTGTGCTACCAAGCGTCGAGTGAGGTTGAGAGGTAGCGATGGGGTGTAATCAACAGCGCCCAACACCATAGCTTAGAGCGGAGAGAGAGAGAGAGAGAGAGAGAGAGAGAGAGAGAGAGAGAGAGAGAGAGAGAGAGAGAGAGAGAGAGAGAGAGAGAGAGAGAGAGA